GCTAGCTCACCATCGCTGCAAAGAACAACAAATCATACTATCTCACAGCAGAAGCAGATACTAAACTGCCTGTTCACTTGGCAAAAAATAATTATAACTTAATGTTGCAGTAAAATATAAACAGTAGTATTTAAGACCAAATGCGTGCACCCCGAATGTAAATGTGTGGGATACACTGCACACAGCTAGAAAATACAAGTACACTCAATATAAATACATTTCATAGTCTGGATATGTGACACAAAAATGTATTACATACACCTACTTGGTTTGGTAGCTTTAAGCGAACCATCTCGATTAATGACGACATCAGAACTGTCCATCAAGAGCATGCTCTGTCCTGATAGGATGCTGCCCAGCAGATCAGGCACAGGAGCTGCCTCCACAACACCTCCTGATGGGTGGACATCCATACCCCTCCTGGTATAGCATAGCAAACCTTCAATAAGATTTGTGAAGTATTTACGGATATAAATCAAACGTAACGTTTGTAGATTCATATGCGCATTACAGATATGTTTTAATGTTCACCAGAAATTTCAAGCTTTAAAAAATGGCAAGTTTACATCTCCTATCTGGAGCAGATTTAATATTCTATAACTACAATCAAGGGTGAAAAATGGTCACAACAGATGCGACAGAGAGGGGAATCGTTCTAGACATTTGCATGTTATGTTCAAAAACCACAATCAACATAAAAGTAGCTGTCGGGTGTGGCCATTCATTCTTTTGAGGTAAAGTTTTTCCTTACCTTTTCAGCCATTTCCATCTTAATTTCTAAGGTTTACAATTACAAGCCCCTATCATTGATATTAACTGCCTGAACTGTACCAAAATGTTGAAAGTCATGTTTTTTCCTCTCATAGTGACAAACTGAATGTGTAGTTTTAAACACGGCTCAAAATCATATTTAGGTGTAATTTAATAGTAATTAAGGTATTTGTGCTCATGGTTTTTAGGTAGATTAACTTCTACAATTAACAGAAAAAAAAAGATATGCATACTAATTGACGTAAACAGCTGATAATATGAGCCTTACCATATAAAATTGGGGTTGTTGATAAAATGAATCACTTTATCAGTAGTAGCAGTAGTAGTAAAACGACGTATGATGCATCAATCATGTTGCTTACATTTTAATAAACAACAGTTTATTATTTATAACAACACAATAGCACAGATCCAACTAAAGCTACCTGTATTTGATTAGTTTGTTTTATACAATAATTATACAGATGAATTAACTATGAATGTCTGAGCATGAGCAAAGCAAACAAATACTGCAAGCTTTATTCAACTTTTCAGTTGTTTTTAACCTAATCCATGTCCCAGGGCAAACAGGAAATGATACCTGGAAAGACTTGCAGTGATTGGTCGAGCCACGGGCTGATGAGAGCGAAGTGCTGAGCAGGAGATCCCTCGTCTCTTGGCCTCCAGTAGCGATGAAACATGAGCCTGCTGTTCATCCTCCTCACTGGTCAAATGGGCACCGTAGGTTCAAAAAGAAAAGGAAAAAAGTTAGCTTAATACAGTGGTTCCCAAACTCCCCTTTGTTTTACAAGACCTGCAATAAATTACAGGTTACAATAAAATAAACCACTACCCTCTTTTAGATAACAGAAACACAAAACATCTTTATGGTGTAATTATTTCACGTAATTTTTTTTTTTAACTGTGTAAGAATATTCAACACTGCTATCAATACATCTGGCTTAATAGTTCTAACCGAATAAGCTTAGTGAAACAGTGAGACATACGGGTGCTACTCAAATTTTGAAAATCAGTATTTTTCATCAGTTATTTAAGAAATTAAACATTCAACATATTCTGCACTTGTGATATGTAAAAAACAAAAACATTTCATTTTTCATTTTTGTAATTGACAGTTTGATAAATATTAGAAGATTTAATTTCAAGCTTGAATAAACTGCTGTTCAAACAGGTAAAATACCAATGGGTTTGCTGACTGTCATTGCTGTCATGGGCCAGACACCCAGTCTTCCCTGAAACCCAGAGACAATCTATGGTTTGCTGCCA